GTCCGCAGTCTCTGGTCATCCCTGTACTGTCCGCAGTCTCTGGTCATCCCTGTACCGTGTCCGCAGTCTCTGGTCATCCCTGTACCGTGTCCGCAGTCTCTGGTCATCCCTGTACCGTGTCCGCAGTCTCTGGTCATCCCTGTACCGTGTCCGCAGTCTCTGGTCATCCCTGTACCGTGTCCGCAGTCTCTGGTCATCCCTGTACCGTGTCCGCAGTCTTTGGTCATCCCTGTACCGTGTCCGCAGTCTCTGGTCATCCCTGTACCGTGTCCGCAGTCTCTGGTCATCCCTGTACCGTGTCCGCAGTCTCTGGTCATCCCTGTACCGTGTCCGCAGTCTCTGGTCATCCCTGTACCGTGTCCGCAGTCTCTGGTCATCCCTGTACCGTGTCCGCAGTCTCTGGTCATCTCCTGTACCGTGTCCGCAGTCTCTGGTCATCCCTGTACCGTGTCCGCAGTCTCTGGTCATCCCTGTACCGTGTCCGCAGTCTCTGGTCATCCCTGTACCGTGTCCGCAGTCTCTGGTCATCTCCTGTACCGTGTCCGCAGTCTCTGGTCATCTCCTGTACCGTGTCCGCAGTCTCTGGTCATCCCCTGTACCGTGTCCGCAGTCTCTGGTCATCTCCTGTACCGTGTCCGCAGTCTCTGGTCATCCCTGTACCGTGTCCGCAGTCTCTGGTCATCTCCTGTACCGTGTCCGCAGTCTCTGGTCATCTCCTGTACCGTGTCCGCAGTCTCTGGTCATCCCTGTACCGTGTCCGCAGTCTCTGGTCATCCCTGTACCGTGTCCGCAGTCTCTGGTCATCCCTGTACCGTGTCCGCAGTCTCTGGTCATCCCTGTACCGTGTCCGCAGTCTCTGGTCATCCCTGTACCGTGTCCGCAGTCTCTGGTCATCCCTGTACTGTTAATTAGTTTGCACTACTGTACGAGTTGTTTTTTCTAAACCAAAAGCTCGATATTCAGGTTTCATTGCAGTGTTGGCACTTTGAAAGAAATAAGTTGGTTTTGGGTTGCAGTTTGGGCACTCGGGCTCAAAAAGGTTCGCCATCACTGCTCTAGATGTTCAAAGCTGGTAGAGACATACCCAAAAAGACTTGCTGCTGTACTTGCAGCGAAAGGTGGTTCTACAAAGTATTGACTCAGAGGGGCTAAATACAAATTCACGCCAAACTTTTCAGATATTTGTAAAAATTTTTTAAAACAATTCAATTTAAAGCAATTTTTTAAAACTGTTCACAGGACAACTTTCCATCCAATCTGACAGAGCTTGAGCTATTTTGCAAAGCAGAATGGGCAAAAATGTAACTCTCTAGATATGCAAAGCTGGTAGAGACATCCCTAAAAAGACTTGCAGCTGTAATTGCTGCAAAAAGGTGATTCTACAAAGTTCTACTCAATGGGCTGAATACAAAATGCACGCCACACTTTTCAGGATATTTGTAAAAAAATTTAGAAAACCATTTCATTTTCCTTCCACTTCACAATTATGTGCCACTTTGTGTTGGTCTATCACATAAAATCCCAATAATATACATTTATGTTTTTGGTTGTAACATGACAAAATGTGGAACGATTCAAGTGGTATGAATACTTTTTCGAGTATGTAACAGTTGCATCAGTTACATTCATAAATTTTATTCATAAGAAAATCAGAATTGTACATACTTTTCTCACAAATGCCTCGGGGGTGGGAGACATATTACAGCAGGGACGGACGGACTGACAGACCGACGTTGAATATAGAAAAGGATACAATAAAATACTCAAAAATAAAAAAGGAATGGTAATCTTTCTGACACCTTGTTACAAGACTGCCAGCCGCTACCAATAAAAAAAAATATGTAATAAAACTGACATCTTATTAGACGTAATAAAACTGATTAGTAAAATACATATACAATAATACAGTACACACTTGTAATTATTCAGTTTCATAGGAAATAGTACTTAACTTACTGGTCATGTATGTCTCTTGACTGAATTGCCGATGGAGTCTTTCATCCAGGGTAGGAGCAATTTTTGTAATGTGTTCTACAGAGTTATATTTGTTAGTTCAACCAAGTTATGAATCTTATACCTTGGGTAGGGTTTTTATCTTCTTTGGTGGACTTGAGTGAGGGTTCGAAACATGCGTGATAGGCTTCCTTAATAATTTTAAAGCATTACCAGAATGGACTTCTGGGTAAATTTTCCTTCCATTTAGGGTGGTGGCAGCTTTAGGAAGGTCAATAATTCCCCCTGTGGGTTTAAAATGATTCCTCAAAGTTATATTCTGCTGCTGGTAGTGGAGTTCCAAAATGTAGGAAGACCAATGAGGTAGTGTCATGGTCATTTTCAAAGCTACCCTATATTATTTTTTATGGTAGATGTACACAAAGGGGGGTATAGCATCAAGGATGCTGCCCTATATTATAATCATGTCATCTATGTAAACAAAAAAAATTTAGATGCAAAATGGGTTGATTTCCCATATATGTGTGCTTTCCCAGAAGCCCATGGTCAGGGTTGGCATAGTGGGCACAAAATTAGCACATATTGCTGTGCCCTTCACTTGGAGGAAGGCTTGCTTTTGAAAGCAAGTGTGTTCTAATGAGAATCTAGTGCAAGCCATTGGGAAATCAGAGGGATGGTTGTCCCTTGATGAAAACTCTTTCACCTTATAATAATAAGGTGAAGGAGTTTTCATCAAGGGACAACCATATATTGGCTTCTACCCATAATGCTTTAGTATATGAATCACAAATATAGTAGGGAAGGGATGTATTTATTGGTTGGTAAAAATAATCTCAATATTCAGAAAGGCCACTGGTAACACTATTTATGGAGACCATGGTATTGTAGGGTGTCTACATTTTTGAGAATTGTTGGTATGTGGTTAAAATCTGAAACAAAATATGAAAAAAACATTGTACAGACATGTGGTTTTATTTTTTTCTGAAAGTGCTTTGTCTATCAGTTTTTATAATTCTATCTTGAATTCCATTAATGGATATTTTGGAAGTCTCCTGTATGTTGTGGTGTTTGAAAGGAATTGAATGGCTTCCTTTATATTATCGCTGTTGTTGTGTATAACAATGTCAACCTTTCTTTGCTTGTTTTAGAAACTATACCATGATTATCCATGAGCTTTTTCAAGGCAATGTTCTCAACTGTATTAGCATTTTTTTTAACTGTTTTGAGACTGGGTACCTGCTCAGTTTATTATAAAAATTGTGCATGGTAAAAGTTAGATAAACAATCCTTTGGTGTGGTATGGATAAAATGTGGATTTGGGTTTTAAAGATGTGTTTCTGCTAAGCAGATTATAAACAGATTTAAAATCAACCTCTACAGGGTTTCATTCTCACAGCCATAAAAAAATCCACATACAAGTGTTTTTGTTTTTTTTTTTTGGTTCTGAATGCAGCTGCATTGGTTTTCAAAGCAGACATTCACACAGGACTGGGTTTAGATCCATAACACAAAATTAAAAAATCTACATCTGAGGACATACAGTAAGTATCTACGTATGCCAGATTGCAGGTATTGGGGGAAAAAATAAATACCTGTGCATCCCCATGTGGGTGAACACGGCCGTTACACAGGGAACAAATGCATACTCCTCATGTGAACAAGGCTTTATGGTGACACTCCCCCCCCCCCCCCCCCCCCCCCCCCCCCCCCCCCCCCCCCCCCCCCCCCCCCCCCCCCCCCCCCCCCCCCCCCCCCCCCCCCCCCCCCCCCCCCTGGGACTGGTGTGAGGTGGTGATCAAGGACACTGTGACTGATGCATAGGTGATTGGGGACACTGTGACTGTTTCAAATGGACTGGTGACATGTACTGCTGAGGCAGTGGTGATAGTCAAAGACAATGGCTAGAGACATACAGTGAGATCAGAGAAGCCAGCCTTTTTACATGATCATCACCACAGCAGTACAATGTCACCATAGTGACAGTGTACTTTCTCTGGTGACTGTATGTAAAATAAACATTTTGCAGTGTCACTATAGTGATATTGTACTACTGTAGCTATTGATCAGAAACACTGACTGTTGCATTGACATACAGTGTCACTGTACTGCTGAGAGGGGGGGGATTTTTTTTTTCTTCTTTGTTACACTCCGATTGCCTACTACTGTGAGCAATCTGGTGTTTTCTGTTATAGCCAATGACAAGTGCTGGTGGAGGACTTCAGAAGAGGAGGTAACGGACCACTCACTTTAAACTCTGCAAAAATGTTTTTCTATAATGGTCTTCCTGAAAGTATATACCATAATGTGCTAGGATGCAAACTAGCACATTACTACAGATGTACCTGTAAAAGGATGTCCTCCAGCACTGCACTGTCTGTGCCTGGACGCTTTCATTTTCTCCTGGTCTTCCTTCTGGGTTAGCTCTCTCTCTTTGGCCACTTGAAAAGTCAGTTCACGAAGATGTCACTCCTACACATGTGCACAGGAGTCACTTCATTATGGTAAATAGTGGGTGCTGTAAATGTACTCTGAGCTGTACATGCATGGCTCAGTGTACAGTACCGCTGACAGGGTCTCTTCTTTGATAAAAACCGGACTTGTCAGCAGTTTTTTACATTAATACCATTTTAAGCACTTAGCTGTGGGCAGCTTTGTAAATGCACTGAAAAGAAAAAATATTTAACTGCACTCTCTCAGCCTGTGAGCTTTTTAATAAATTCACCAAAGGCTCAACCTTTAGTACTTGTATTACACAAAAAGCAAAAGAGGACAAAATATATCCCAATAAAACACCTAAATCCACTGTTGTGGTTCTAATCTTGTATACTTACAATGACATGTTCTACTCTCAAAAAGTTTCTGTACATATGATAACTGTACATCACACAACTAAAAGAAACACATTATCTTGCATATACAAAACCCCCCTTAAAGCATAGATGTTATCCACATCAACCAGATTCCAGTTGTTCATTTTCTGATTATATGTATAGAGTTTAGCTTTCACCACTTCCATGTGTGCAATACATACTGTAATGTCTGGAATGTTATTTTTGTTCTGCTACTTTTCTTAGAGCATTTTGCATGGACTTCTTCATGAATGTCTGGTTACAGTTAAGTGCACTAGTTAAAGGTCCAAGATGAGCCAACTGAATCTGAAACAAAAACATACATATCTTTAATTTATATAAGCAGTATGTTGCTGTAATAAGCCTGCAATTGTATTGTTCAATTGCAGTGCCACTTGCTGCTGAAATCCGCTTTGAATCAACAACTAGAAAATCAGGTCCTGATAAAAGCAAGCAAGTCACTTTTAAAAGCTTGTGTAAAAGGTAGATTCCAGTTATGAGCGACTTTATGTACACCAAAATATGTTGAGTATACATTTTACAATTTGAAGACAATTGTCAAGCAAAAATGACAAACAGATCTGGACAACATAACCGATCAAGACAACCTTTAACCAACCATTTTGCTTAAACAGCCTACAAAATGTAAATCAAGCAAGGAGGAAGTCCCACCATGCCTGGTGTTATGTTTTACAGTTGCCATTCATGGTTAATTGCACTGATGCAGTTGTTAATTTTTTAAATACACAGCTGGTTGAAATACTCTGAAATTTGCCATGTGTATGAAATGAGCAATGAAACTTCAAAGAAAAGAAAAAATGAAAATAGCAATTTGTGTTTCTATACTTATGAAACAAGCTTTTAAACAAAATAAAGGAGATATGATAACAATATACAAATATATTAATGGTGATCCCAACATAGGACAAAAACTATTCAGCTTCAGGGAGCTTAAAAAGGCACGTAGCCACTCCATGAAACTAGATGAGAAGCAGTTTAACCTTAAACTGCGCAGGGGATTCTTTACTGTTAGAGCAGTAAAGATGTGGAACTCCCTTCCACAAGCAGTGGTGTCTGCAGGAAGTATAAATAGTTTCAAAAGACTCTTAGATGGGCATCTTAGTGAATGCAATATATAAGGATATGTGAAATGATATAGATTTAAAACACACACATGTGCACAAACACACAGGTTGAACTGGATGGACTGGTGTCTTTATTCAAACTTACCAACTATGTAATTCCATGTATGGACATTTTTACATAGTTATATTGGTCCAGCTTAGACCTAAGTAACTATTCATATAATCATACCTGGTAGATCTCCATGGAAGCTGGAAATCGCTGTGGTAGGCACCACTACCACTGTGCCTCAAGTAATACTTTAAAAGATGTGGGGATATGTAGTACAGTGGCTAAGTGGTTGGCATGTCTGTCTAGCAGCACTAGGGTCAACGGTTCGAATCCCAGGCACTGCACTACCTGTCTGGAGTTTTCATGTTCTCTCTACCCATGTGTAGGTTTCCTCCGGGTACTCTGCTGTCCTCCGGGTTCTCCAGTTTCCTCCTACACTCCAAAGACATACGGGTAGTTTAATTGACCCTTGTCTAAATTGGCCCTAGTATGTGTACGTATGAATATGAGTTAGGGACCTTAGATTATAAGCTCCTTGTGGGTTAGGGACTGATGTGTATATACAATATACATGTAAAACGCTGCGTAAATTGACAACGCTATATAAGTACCTGTACTAAATAATATTTGGTGCTTACCACATACCATTGACTTTATTTACAGTATGCCCCTAATTTATGTGTCTGTACATAAACATGTTCATTTATTTACATCAAGTCTGCATATTACCGTATTTTTCGCTCCATAAGACGCACTTTTTCCCCCCCAAAAAATGGGGGAAAATGTATGTGCGTCTTATGGAGGAAATATTGACTAGGCCTCCCCCCCTCCCTCCATCGCAGTGTTAGAATACCGGGCCAGCCAGCGAGGGGGCGGGGCCAGCTCTGGAAGCTCCACTGACCCCGCCCCATGCAGTCTGTATGCTCGAGAGGGAGCTGCTGTAGTAGAAGTGATGTGAGTGGGAGCACCGACCCCGGACCTCAGAAAGGATGCTGAGCACGGCTGGCCAGGTATGTCCTTTCCCCCATAGACTGCCTGTGGACTGTTATACCAAACCCTGAGCTGTTTTTCACAAACTGTACATCTGTGCATTGCTGAAAGAACTCTGTTCATGCCCTGTAATATGTCTGCAGTCTCTGGTCATCTCCAGTAGTGTGTCTGCAGTCATCTCCTGTACTATGTTCGCAGTCTCTGGTCATCTCCTGTACTATGTCTGCAGTCTCTGGTCATCTCCTGTACTATGTCTGCAGTCTCTGGTCATCTCCTGTACTATGTCTGCAGTCTCTGGTCATCTCCTGTACTATGTCTGCAGTCTCTGGTCATCTCCTGTACTATGTCTGCAGTCTCTGGTCATCTCCTGTACTATGTCTGCAGTCTCTGGTCATCTCCTGTACTATGTTTGCAGTCTCTGGTCATCTCCTGTACTGTGTCCGCAGTCTTTGGTCATCTCCTGTACTGTGTCCGCAGTCTTTGGTCATCTCCTGTACTATGTTCGCAGTCTCTGGTCATCTCCTGTACTATGTCTGCAGTCTCTGGTCATCTCCTGTACTATGTCTGCAGTCTCTGGTCATCTCCTGTACTATGTCTGCAGTCTCTGGTCATCTCCTGTACTATGTCTGTAGTCTTGGTTCAGAATATTTTTTTTTTCTTGTTTTCCTCCTCTAAAACCTAGGTGTGTCTTATGGTCAGGTGCGTCTTATAGAGCGAAAAATACGGTAATTTCATTACAAGTAAACTCTTATTAGATTATAAAATGATGTTTGTATGTAAAAACTCTTACCAGGTTAGGTTTGCTAGTCAGGAGGACCAATAACAATTTGGAAAAGGTCACCGACTTGGAAAACTTCTCAGCAGCTTCACATAAATAGTTTAATAATGGGTCAAACTCTGACTGACAGAATTTATCCTGAAAGAAAAAAATATATTGAAATAAGATCATAGGGGAATAAAAAAAGGTATTTTCGACTTCCCAGTTAATCCTTTTTCTTGGAATCTATTGAGGGACCCAGGATAACAAAATGTTGGTTTATACTGCTGGCCACTAAATGACTGGACACTGGAAAAAAAAAAAAAATCTCTGGGTCAGACCAGGATAAAACCTGATTTTCCCGGCATGCCTCAGTTTGTAGCAAGCTGTATCAAATAATGAACATAAACACAGAATGGGGAGACCTGTGTTCCTAAATGGACTCTAAGAAAAGGATTTTACTGTGGGTACAAAAATCCAAATGTCTCTTTCTAATCAATTGAAGGACTAAGGAAGTCATATCAGGACAACCAAACAGTCCACAGAGGGGTTGGCAACTACAAATAACCACAAACAGGCCCAATAGGGAAAAGACTGGACAATGCATACATCTCAAGAGCCATCTGAAGGACCAACGACAAACTGGCATCAGATTAAGCTGAAGGAAGGGGCAAAATCACGTGGAAACAAAATAGTATGAGAAACTAAGTATGATGCCAGGAGACCAAAATGATACGTACACTGGTAAGGAGGTACAAAGTGGGGGGGGGGGCTCCAAATCATAGACCATAATGTGGAACAGGTCTACTTGATCCATTCAGAAGATGTAACAAAAACATATAGGAGAACTGAAAATGATGTACTTGTTAGGAAGGTCAGAGCCTCCCTTGGCTGAGGAGGGCTTTACACCTCAACTCACCCGATCCACCAGATGTAAGTGAATAAGGGGGCACATGGCTGGAGGGACTGCCAAAGCTAACTTCCACTTTGCTGGGAAGAGAACTACCTAGGAAGAATCCTCAAAATAACTTATTTCAGAAGTAACCAAGGTGTGAAACAGTAGTTCTTGCACCCCTTTAGAGAATCAAGCTTTGTTTCCGGAAATCAGCAAGACCAATACAGCAGGTACGCAGAGATTTCCATACAGACAGCAGGCAAATCTCCTCGAATAAGCAAGAAGAAAAAAAAAGATCACACACAACTGAGGACCAAGTTAAACTCCCACCTATATGTAGGGAGAGGGCTCCCATGGGGCAATCCCGAAAGAAAAACTTGTCTAAAAATATATTGCCTATTCTGAGCCATAGGACTAGAGACTCTCCTGACTCCCCAGATCCAGTGTAGAGCTACTGACAGGAGTCCTATCAACACAGTGAAGAATATTCCCTGGATAAAAAAGAAAACAAAAACAGGGAGAAGAACCAGAGAGGCTTTCTTCATGTGACAGATCCTATGACGTCATTAAGCATTTACCATTATTGTCAGAGCATACCTGCTGCAGGAAACTAACCTGTTCAGCATGTTCCTGGGATATCCTGTACGTGCAAGCACAGAATGTGGAAGATCCCTCGGTGCATGGACTGCTCCCCTCATGTCCGGAAACCACCAGTTGGGAAAGATGGGCCTCCAGAAAATCGCATTTGAAACGAGGTAGCTCATACAAGACTAGAACCCAAGGTTTTGTCCACATCAGGAACCAAATTACCTCACTTCACAACAAGAACTCCTGTTTCCCCAAGTGGTGAAGGCACCAGTTCCTAGACCTTGTCCAGCGGTGCCTGTGTCAGATGACCTGACCAGAGAATGATCCTGCAATAATAGAGAAACCTCATTTTCTGAAAGTCCAGAATGTAGCCCAGAGGACATGTGCTTCCCAATGATAGGATCTTCCCAAAAGGTGGGAAGAAAAGATATTACCAGCTCCATGATTGGACAGCCGAATAATCAGGCCAGGAACTACCTGATCCTCAGACGTAGATAAAATTAGCCTGCTCACAAGCTAGAACCACAACAGGAGAGGGGAGGAATGAGAGAGTCCGAGAAGAAATTAAAGAAGGGGGTGCCTCGGAGAGGAAATCACTGAAATCTCATGCAACAGATGAGACTGGGAATTTCCTGACCAATTTAAAAGGACACAACAGGCGGAGGACCCTTCTACCGAAAAAAACATATTTAAAAACTTGTCTATATTCCAACCACACACTTTCCTAGAAACACTGCTCATGAATATTGGGCGCTGTAACGACTACCAGCTGGGACTAGAAACATCACAAGCAAACCTACATATTCGCCAACACACCATGGATCTCCAAATATGGTCTAAAGAAGTTTTTATTGCAAAAAGATCACATCACAGTAGAAAGTCCAACATTTCGAAGCAGCGCAGGATCCCTTCATCAGGCCTGATGAAGGGGTCCTGCACGGCTCCGACACATTGCACTCTCTTCTGTGATCTTTTTGCAATAAAAACTTCTTTTGGACCATATTTGGAGATCCATGGTGTGCTGGAGAATATGTACGTTTCCATATTTAAAAACTGTCTGCAGGTTATGAACAGTTTTCAGCACTAATTCCTAATGATATAAGGCTCAGCAGAAACCTTGAGGCACTTAGCCTATCAGGGAGGTGTTGTTCACTAGGGACTATGGCCACTGTTCTTTCCACAGGAGGTTGCCCGAGTGTCCCACCATGGGAATACCATGGGAAGACGCTAGGGCAGACAACAGAGAAAAAAAAAACCTTTTGCAACACACTAGGTATGCAGGGGCAACAATGACTAGTCAGAGCTTTGGTAGGACAGTGAACAGCCAGTACTAGTCCCAGCTGACCATGCAGGTCAGACAGTCTCTCTACATAAAAACAGGGATGAGGAATCTGAAGGTCTTACATCCCCTAAAAGAAACAATCAGTTGCTTCATGGAAGGATAACGTGGCCAGAATGGGATACAGCTTCTGAGGCCAAGTTGACAAAAGAGCTAGAAGAATCCCTGAGTTCAGGAGACTGAACCCACAGAGGCAGAGGTAGGTCTACTAATTTCCAGGCCACTGGATCGGATCTAAACACCACCACTCTGTAGGATTGACCACTACAGTGTCTCTTACCATCTCCATCAGCCCAGCTGCTATTGCACTGACCACCGGTGGCGCTTGCAGGATGTTTTGAGGAACAGTCATCTCTCATATACACAGATGAGCTTGTTTTATTACTTCCTTTGTGAGTGTTTTTAATCCTTTGCTATTAAATACAGTGTTGTTACTACACTCAAGACGGGCACCTCCTGTCTCTTTTCTTCTGGATTTGTCTGGAAGTTGATAGAGGTTCTTTAGTCAATTTTTCTCTTTCGTCCACATCCAGGGAGATTAGCTACAGTGCCATGGGTTGTAAACTTTCTTGACAATGTTGCGCACAGTGGACACAGGAACATTAAATTGGTGTTCCAGTCAGTTTTGTGTATATTAAAAGTTATCAGCTACAAAAACTGTAGCTGGTGCCTCATAATAAACACAGAGTCCAGCGATGTGCTCACCCATGCCATCCCTTCTTTGCCTCTTCTCTCCCTGGCGCTGGCATCTCAACTGTGGCCACCAGGCTGTGACAGCTTGCGGCTTCACAACCAGGTGACCACTCCGCGTATGTGAGTCGCGCTGCGCATTCTGATTGCACTGGCAGTCTTCTGGGACCTGTGAAGGTTCCCAGGAGACTGCGGAAGGAAGGAGGGGGGCCGAACTTCCAGCTCACTTCGCCGCAGCAAAGTGAGTCAAACATAGGAGCGGGTACCTATCAAAAAAACAGGTATCCGCTCCCCCCCAAAGGCAGTGGAGAGGGGGAAGAGGCAAACAAGCAGAGCTTACACTTTTGATTGAGTGGAACTCTGCTTTAAGATCTTTGGAGATGGATTTGTAACCTTGAGATTGTCCATGCCTTTCCACAATCAATTTTTGTTCTCAAATCCTCAGACAATTCTTTGCTGCTCTCTATCTTCTCCATGCTCCATTTGGCACACAGAAGACACACAACAGAAAGGTTGAGTCAATTTTTCACCATTTTAACTGGTTGTAGTGTGATTTCTATATTGTCAGCACCTGTTAAATTTATACAGGTGAGTTTAAATTACAAGTTAAAGGTGCATAGCAAACTTGGAATGCAATTATTTCTTACAATTTTGAGAATGTGCCAAACATTTTGTCCAGTCCATTTTTTGGGTTTTGCGTGGAATGTGTCAGATTTGGCTTTTTGTTTCTCAACTTTTTTGCGTCATACTAATAGAACAAAAGAAATAAACATGCCTTAGTGCCTATACATTTGTAATTCCAACAATTTTCTGGGTGAAGTGGTGCATTATCTGACAGAAAAGCAGGAGTGCCAATATTTTTAGCCGTGACTAACTTGTATGTCCAACTATTTCCTTTTTAGTATTCTCAATTCCTGTTATACCTGACCATTTGAGTGGAAGCCTATCACGTTTTCTAAATTAAAACCCTTTCTTGACCATAGTCTAAACATAGGGACCACGAAACAAAAACAAAAAAAAATTACCTGCAGTCCTATTGGTCCAAACACACAATTCACCATATGCCAATATATTCATTAGTTATGTCCAGGGTATACAGTAAAATAGTAATGATATTTCTGCATTTCTATGACAAATCCCTGTGTACTCCCTGAACTGACCTCGCATATGATAGGCTCAACAAAAATAGGCCAATATTTTTTTCTCCAAAATCTCCAGAAATTTATACCACCCACAAAAATATCTGCATTGATGTATCTTATATGTCACAGGCAGACTTAGCACCAAATACTATCTTCCCAGTAAATGTGCTAGGTATGGGGGTGAATTTATATAAACTTAGTGAGATGGTCACAGTGTGCACATATGACTTCTCTGGGTATGAAGAGAGAAATAGGCATCCATGGGGTTCCAGATGTCTATGAAACCCTATTTCAACCTCATTCCACCAAAGATACCATCTTTATGTGGACAATATTCCAGTGTGCCACTTTTTGGGCAGCAAACTGTAGCCTTTCACAAACACTTGTCACCACAAAGCTGAAAAGGGGGGAGTCCACAAACTGGCGCAATGAAGAACTTTTGGCAATAAAATGGAAGAATAAGCAGGATGTTTATATCCACAAAGACACCTCAGTAAAAAGTTAAATGTCTGGTCCAAAAACCCCCTTGCACTCGTGAACATAATATATAGTCAGGTCCATAAATATTGGGACATCGACACAATTCTAACATTTTTGGCTCTATACACCACCACAATGGATTTGAAATGAAACGAACAAGATGTGCTTTAACTGCAGACTGTCAGCTTTAATTTGAGGGTATTTTTACATCCAAATCAGGTGAACGGTGTAGGAATTACAACAGTTTATATATGTGCCTCTCACTTGTTAAGGGACCAAAAGTAATGGGACAATTGGCTTCTCAGCTGTTCCATGGCCAGGTGTGTGTTATTCCCTCATTATCCCAATTACAATGAGCAGATAAAAGGTCCAGAGTTCATTTCAAGTGTGCTATTTGCATTTGGAAGATGAGATCCAAAGAGCTGTCACTATCAGTGAAGCAAGCCATCGTTAGGCTGAGAAAACAAAACAAACCCATCAGAGAGATAGCAAAAACATTAGGCGTGGCCAAAACAACTGTTTGGAACATTCTTAAAAAGAAGGAACGCACCGGTGAGCTCAGCAACACCAAAAGACCCGGAAGACCACGGAAAACAACTGTGGTGGATGACCGAAGAATTCTTTCCCTGGTGAAGAAAACACCCTTCACAACAGTTGGCCAGATCAAGAACACTCTCCAGGAGGTAGGTGTATGTGTGTCAAAGTCAACAATCAAGAGAAGACTTCACCAGAGTGAATACAGAGGGTTCACCACAAGATGTAAACCATAGGTGAGCCTCAAAAACAGGAAGGCCAGATTAGAGTTTGCCAAACGACATGTAAAAAAGCCTTCACAGTTCTGAAACAACATCCTATGGACAGATGAGACCAAGATCAACTTGTACCAAAGTGATGGGAAGAGAAGAGTATGGAGAAGGAAAGGAACTGCTCATGATCCTAAGCATACCACCTCATCAGTGAAGCATGGTGGTGGTAGTGTCATGGCGTGGGCATGTATGGCTGCCAATGGAACTGGTTCTCTTGTATTTATTGATTATGTGACTGCTGACAAAAGCAGCAGGATGAATTCTGAAGTGTTTCGGGCAATATTATCTGCTCATATTCAACCAAATGCTTCAGAACTCATTGGACGCCGCTTCACAGTGCAGACAGTGGACAATGACCCAAAGCATACTGTAAAAGCAACCAAAGAGTTTTTTTTAAGGGAAAGAAGTGGAATGTTATGCAATGGCCAAGTCAATCACCTGACCTGAATCCGATTGAGCATGCATTTCACTTGCTGAAGACAAAACTGAAGGGAAAATGCCCCAAGAACAAGCAGGAACTGAAGACAGTTGCAGTAGAGGCCTGGCAGAGCATCACCAGGAATGAAACCCAGCGTCCGGTGATGTCTATGCGTTCCAGACTTCAGGCTGTAATTGACTGCAAAAGGATTTGCAACCAAGTATTAAAAAGTGAAAGTTTGATTTATTATTATTCTGTCCCATTACTTTTGGTCCCTTAACAAGTGGGAGGCACATATGCAAACTGTTGTAATTCCTACACCGTTCACCTGATTTGGATGTAAATACCCTCAAATTAAAGCTGACAGTCTGCAGTTAAAGCACATCTTGTTCATTTCATATCCATTGTGGTGATGTATAGAGCCAAAAATGATAGAATTGTGTCGATGTCCCAATATTTATGGACCTGACTGTATGTAGGAGATGTAGATTTCAGTGACCAGATGATGAATCCCTACCTGGCAACCAACAGATCATTTACTGGAACAAAAAAGTGGCCACCTACTTATTTCAATTGGCCATGTACAAATTTATATGTGATCTTTCTACAGTCATCCGGGAGACCTGGCATCAAGAATAAATTGTAACAGTCCTAATTTAACAAAAGACCATGCATCAGAAAGCCTTCATCTTGATGCAATCAGCAGTCTGCATAAGATGCACTTCCCTGATCTTCTCCCTTCTAACCATACAGACTGAGGACAAAAATTACAATGTATGCTTGAAAGATGGAATAAGGTGTGACACACGCTATTATTTTCCCCCACTGTCATTCACAACCTGGCCTCTGCATAAATGATGTCTTCATTTGCTACCATACCTCACTACAATATTAGTGAAGGTATGGTGAAGGTGTTTCTCATGTGTCTGACTAGCTGTCTGCCTGTATCTTATCTCCTGTGTACCAACACTTTGCCTTTTTTTTTCAACTATGTTTCTGCCTGCTGCCTTGACAGATCCTTTGCCTATATACTAACCATGCCTCTGCCTGCCACCTGAACTGACCCTGGATGGTTTAACATCTTTGCCTGCTGTCTTGAACTGGGCCTGACCTGTTTATGGACTATGTTTCTGCCTGCTGCCTGGTCTGATCCTTTGCCTACATACTGACCACATCTCTGCTAACTGCCTAAACTCACCATGGCTTGTACATGGGATATGATTCTTCCCATCACACTTTTTTTCAATATTTTTCAGTTAAAACAATAAAGAAAACCTAGTGGTGATTAAATACAACCAAATGAAAGTTCTATTGGTCTCAAAAAAATGAAAAAAAAAAAAAAAAATCACTTGAGTAGAATGTCACATGACCAAGTAATTTTCAAAGTATCACTGTGCTGAAAACTGAAAAATGGCCTGGACAGGAAGGGGGTTTAAAATGCCAATCTTCAAGTGGATAAAGTAATGAACCTGGGACATTAGACTGGGGACAACACTAGTAAAAGCTATAGGTTGATCCTAAAGCTTTAAAGTGGTGGTTACAGCATCAATAAGCCCCTGAAATGGTCTCTAGGTTTGGAAGTAATAGCAGAGGGATGCAACACCTTGTTGTAGGGTCATCCGTTATGGATTTAAAAAAAGACTCAGCACTAAACAAAGTCTTGGGGGCTAAAGGCTAAGGCCACCAATGCTGCATTCAATGGCGGGCAGATCAGATAAGGATTCTGCAGATGAAGATGTGGATGCACGCTTTCTAAGGCCACAGGCAGTAATCAAATTCGCTATTAGGCCCATGAAATCCTGCATGAATGTGGTAAAATTGTTCCAGGATAGGGCTACACTCATCAGAACCAGCAAAGACTTCGAGGATGGCATAGACTCAAGCAGAGGGCAAAATTCCACAATGTCAGTAGTACCCCAGAGGGATCACTGCAGGCATCACATAAAATGTTAGTGGATGTTGATCTGGAAGCACCCAGGACAGTAGGACTGTTCCTCCTATGCTGAGGAACTGCAATGGTCCAATGCAAGGTGGGGGCAACCTGACAGAGTACAAAGCTCTAGGCATGCAGTACTCATAAATCCGGCTGCTGGCCAAATAGGACCAAAAGAGTGTAGGTAGGCAACAGAGACAAACTGAGAAGAATTTCACATGTCACCTGCAGTCAGGAGCAGCAGCCCGAAAGTGCTTCCTTCATGCTGGATGGCAGGTAAGAATGTAAAACAAGTACATGAGACATTCCACCTAGTGGATGACTTCAGCTTTCTGAGTGTCAAGCTCTTCTGCAGTGGAACCGGCCAAAGTGGAAATTTTAAAAAAAATTACTCCCAGCGGTCCTAAAAACAAGGAAGATCCCAGTGCTCACTCACAAAGTGAATCTTCAGAGACAGGGTCACACCTGGGACTGTGCAAAGGCTCTGAACCTAGATCGCTCTACTAACAGTAGAGCCCAAAGGTCACATTCCACGCCAGACCTGCTCCTCTGGTCATGTGCGAACAGATACAATACTCCAAAGTAAAGCATAGGAAAGAATGGATCAAGGAGGTTTAATCCAGATAGTTGTATAGAAAGACCATCCAAACAGTGATGTAGCAAACAAAAAAAAAAACAAAAATAAAGAAAAAACTAGCTAACAAAAAAGGTGTTACACTTTTCCATGAAGACCAGAAAAAACAGAAAAAAAAAAAAAAAAAAAAAAAAACACAACAAAAAAGGAAGGAAATCCATCTTCCTAAGACACAGCAAAAAAAACTGGAGGGATGCTGTGAGTAGGATTAGTTATGCTAGGCTGGCCCACAATTTTTTTTTTTTGCTAGTGTCCACAATCCTCAATCCTCCTGTTGGCAGCAGTATAACTTGCCAGGCTCTGAATTCCAATGTCCCTCAATAGACGAGAGAGAAACCTCAGAAATTTTATACATTCATTATAATCCATGTAACAAAATAGTTTTTGGCCCCCGTCTTAGCAGTATTAGACCATGCCTACCAATAACCTGAGAATACTAATATTTCAGATTTCCTGCAACAGAACCCTTCATGCCCCCCTCCTACATATATATTTATCTGCATAGTACAATAAATTATGAACAAGTGATGATAATCGGATATTGTGGTGGGTCCCCTATAATATTTAGCATTTTTGCTTACCTTTTTATCAATCAACAAGTGAAGGATAGTGAGAGCAACTTCAGTACATGATGTATCAAAAATTGGGCTGAAAATAAACCAAATATGAATAACCACCATTAAACATGTAAAACAAGAAAAAGTATTAGACAAAGATCACGGTAAGAGCAGGTTTTGGTATGTTTTTTCTATCTACTGTAGTTTCTTAGTTAATAGTTATAGCAAGCAAGTGATGCCTGAGCTGAAGTTAGGCGGGAGGGTTAGGAGTTAGGCAGGGCTTCCTGCATAGACAAGGTAGCTATGTCATAAGCTGCAAGGCACAGACAGGGGTCCACTCATGGGGACTGTCATCAGAGCCATATGTGGATAAAGGAGGAGACCTTCACTGGGGTTCGTCAGGAAGTTAAAATGGCTTACTCAACATGCAGAGCAGGAGACAGTAGCGCTGAATATGCCTCTCATGACAGTCCATCTACACCCATGAGCGGACCCCTGTCTGTGCCTTGCAGCTGATCACAGTCTATCCACACTGGAGAGAGCTGCACCTGCATGCCATCCCAATCATCAGCGCTGTTCACAGACTTCTCTGATGTAAGTGTATTACAATAAAGCATTGCGGTTTTAATCTCACATTCACCAAGTGTCTGGCTCTATTCTTTTGCATATCTATGAGGGATTCCCCATATCTTTGGCGAGCTGCTGCCAGAATTGTTTGTGCACCCCATTGTGATTCAGCTGCCCCATGCTTTGAAGCAGATTTCACCATGGACTAACATGTATTTGACACTGCTTTTATCTCTTTCTTTCCATTATAGTCTATGAGTGAATTGGCTGGCTTGTTATCGTTTCAAGTAGCTTTTTATTCATAGTGCACCAATATGTTTACTGAATTGTTGTTTGCCTGGATTCCCTAATACACAGCTATACCTGTTTGCTGTGAAAATCTTTCAATTAATGTAAGCATTCTTAATCACCGTGTGTGTGTCATGTTCAGACCACACTGCGGAGTTACACAGTGTTCCAAAGCTGTCAGATTTTATGCAACATGTTTGCATAAATATTACAATGCTTTGCATGGTCCCTTATATCACCGCATTGCAAGCACAGCTGTGCAGTGACATGAATTAAATGTGTTCAAAAAGGGGACTATGTGATGCGATAAAACACACATAACATTGCCCAGAGTAACATGGTTCTGCAGTCCAAAATGCTCAGTATGCAGCAGCATTTTGGGCTGCAGGGCAGTATGAAGAGGCCCTGAGCAACACAAGATAAGATAAACCTATTGCTCACCTAAAACAGAGATGCAGCTGATGTGGCTGAATACATTCAGAAACCATTCGGCAAAGAAAATCAGCATACACGGTGCCTAACAAAGAAAAGCCATAAAAAAGAGCAGTAACAGATCAATCACAGTACCACATTGCTGTTCAAGAACATGGAAAACAAGTGACAATGAATAAAGTAATACCATTTCTAAAAAAAAAATAAACGATAAACAAAAAATTCACTTTGACTACCTGGTTCTGCTTGAACCAATATGGGGCCAATAAGACTGCTGCAGGCAGAATGGGCATACTTGTTGCAAAACATAGAAAGTGCTGCAGTGAGAGAACGGGATGCTGGTGACGTGAGTGAGAGCACCTACAAGAAACAAAGTTCAAAAATTAGTAACTGATTGAAGCATCTGAACTAATAAAAAATGGGCTCCAAATGAAAATATTTGGAGTATCAGGCAAATTATATTTTTGCCAGACTCTTTCAACTAAGTCAAAGAACCCCTGTATGAGACAAATTTAAAGCGGACCTTGCAGTCATGGCCAAATGTCACCCTGAGATGCAAAGCTCTGGCACTTCCCTGCAGCGTCCGAAATTGCCACTAACTGCACTACACATTGCTATTGATACATCACTATGATGGCAGCCTCCATGACCAATGAAAATATGCACAAGATAAGAAGAGGTGAAAAGTTTTGGCACTATAAGAAGTATTGGAGCTTTGCCTCCCAGAATGACCTAAAATTCAGCCATAACAGGAAGGTTTAAGAGACTGAGTTGGCTGTACCTCATACCTGCAGTATTTTACCTCTTGTTTAAGTATTATTCTAACTCAGTGGTGGTCTACTTACTAGATATAGAGTACCATGACTGCAGCCACACATAATCAATATTTGTAATGCTGCAAAGGATTGTCTGGCACACTGCTGAATATGGTTTGAGACTGGTGATGTGCTACAGGTGAAGTTGAAAGCTTCAGGAGACTTTTAGGGATTGGGATATGTTACATGAGACTGCTAATGATCACAGCTATTACAGTCCCTGTACAAATTGATGCTCTCACTACTGGCTGCTGTGCCCCAAGGCTACACCATAAGTAACAAAGGGCTTCAAGATGGGAACTAGCGATACACGTTCTTTGATTGTTCAGCTGCTGGCACCAATATAATGTCTAATGTCTTACCAGGGAAGTCATATAAATTTTGTGAAATAGAAACAAAATTGGATAGCTTTTGTTCAATAAAGGCACTAAATGGAAAACAATATGGCACACTGTTCCCAGAACAGTACTTCAACACCAAGAGAAATACAATAAAAACTGTCATTACAAAATGTAAGGTTTACCCTATCCAGGAAGAGGCTTTTGGCCAAAGACTTGGCATGGGCATAACTAATGTCCGGTGATACTGTATCAAGGTGAACACAGAGCTGAAATAAGCACTTTAGGGAGAGTTGTGTAATTCCCACAGTAGAAAAGAGAGTTTCAAGCTGTAAAGACAAACATGATAACAATGAAAACAGCTCATATCAAGCAAGAAAAGCAACACTACAGAACCCATAGAAAACAAACTTTAAATTATATTTTCTTCTTCTGTGTAAATGCACAAGAAGACTATTTGAGAGAAACTAGCAGAAACATTTCAGTTCAGTGGTTTCAAAGAAATCTACTCACATTCACAAATGAACATCACTAATGTATTTTTCCAGCTGATCTGTATGGTTTGTACACAGCAACATCATAACATGCAGGAAAACTGATCATTTTGAAGACTTGGCTTAAAATAGAAATTACTTTAAATCATAAAGATCTCTAGAAAAGTTGCATGAAATCATGGTTGCTGTAGGTTTATAAGTGTTATAAAACGCTTTGCCCCCTGCAGTCGGATTACTTTGAATGACCAAAGAGTAAACAATTACCAAGAAATTTTACATACCTGTAATGGGCTACACAAATCGAATAGGTTGTTCATCTCGGCCAGAAATTCAATGTCTAGTGCCTGAAACATATGAAAACACAACCATAAGCTCACTGGCAAAAACCTTACCAGCTCTTTTTATAATAGGGCAAATATCTATGCCATTACCTCAGACTCCATGTTAAGGTAAAGGAACTGCTTGAGCTTAGGCGCATGAGTCTGAAAAGGGTGACCGGTGAAAAAGAAAAGAGAAACTATCACCAAATTGCTCTATAGATCATAAGTTGGAAAAAAAAAACCAACAAACATATGTATAATTTTTTTCCCCATAACTATTGTATTTCTTGTTTAGGACCTCCCAAAATAGCTGTACAGCAAAGATTACAGTCTACTGTTCATCATGTGACTGGCAGCCAACTAAGGCTAAATGTATGGCAATTTCTATCTATTACATTAAAAACCTCTAGCACCCGACTGATCAACAGTATCCTAGGAGCCTAATATGATTCACTATAATATTGGTTAAAGAGACCCCATAAACATAGAAAATTGCAAGTAAAAGCACAGAAAAATACATTTTTTTAATGTTTATTTGCAGCATGTTTCCATTGCATGTTTTTTTTTTTTAATTGACTTGCAATGTGCCTCTGAACATGCTACCAAATTTGACTGCTTCATTTCCCTAGCAAAGCCCAGACTCCTCTGTTCAACCCCATATCTCCCCACAAAAACATTTTATGTAGCGGTCAGGGAAGGAGTGAAGCGATATACTATAGTGTATTCTCAGAGCTTTGTCTACACAGAGGAGTCTTTAACCCATAAATAACATGCCTAAAATATGTTAAATGCATGGTAGTGGAAATAGATGGTCTGAAGACGGAGTCATTTTGAGCAAGTGGACCTTTACCTCAATTGATGCAGGTAAAACTTGCATCTCTTCTGGGGCTTCCGTATGTGCTTCTTGCAATGAGCTCATTGGCTGAGAATCCATTAACAGTTCTTTTGTGCAGTCATTCACAGGGTAACTTTCTTTGTTGTCTATCTGTACTCTGCTCTCAAAATCCATAGTCTGCTCATCTTCCATGGATACACAGCGATTTTTATACCAGCCTAACTTAAAATGCCCATTTGGTGTCTGCTTTAGCTGCTTGCATAGAATATGCAGACTTTGTGCCACCTCAGGACTTTGGAGGGGAGTCTGAATGCTGCTATCTTTCAAAAAATGTTGCCTCATATAGAGTAACCAGGCATCTGAAAAGTAATTTTCTTCCCTAATTGTCTGCAACCAAAGCTGGATGGATGGAGCAGGCAGGCGAGAATATATAAGGTCCAGTAGCCTAAATAAGTTCCTTTGTGTTTGCAGGGGAAGCAGGGCAAGTTTTGGTTTTCTGAGAATAAACCAGAGAGAAAGATTAATGAGATAAGTGGATTTCACCGCAAAGTTACACTAATATACAACACATTGATCAAAATTATTGCTTACAAATCTTACTAAACAAGTTTAACAAAAAAAAAAAAAAACCCAATGATCAGGCTATGAAGGTTCTTATTCAAGCACATCCTATCATAGGGTATCAATATTCTGTCCCTGTGCCCAGACTGTTCTCCTGACTTGTCACCCTGTCACATGCTCTGTTAATGAAGTGGCTGTGCCAACATACACTCACTGGCCACTTTATTAGGTACACCTGTTCAATTTCTTGGTAACACAAATTGCTAGTCTGCCAATCACATGGCAGCAACTCAGTGTATTTAGGCATGCAGTCGTGGTGAAGACAACTTGTTGAAGTTCAAACCGGGCATCAGAATGGGGAAGAAAGGACAATTAGGTGACTTTGAATGTGGCATGGCTGTTTGTGCCAGACAGGCTGGTCTGAGTATTTAAAAAACTGCTGATCCTACTGGGATTTGCACCCACAATCATCTCTAGGGTTTACAGAGGATGGTCTGAAAATGAAAAAATATCCAGTAAGCGGAAGTTGTGTCGACGAAAATGTCTTGTTGATGTCAGAGGTCAGAAGAGAATGGGCAGACTGGTTGCTGTGACATTCAGATGGGAAGGTCAGAATTTGGTGTAAACAACATGAAAGCATGGATCCATCCGGTCTTGTGTCAACAGTTCAGGCTGGTGGTGGTTGTGTAATGGTGTGGGGAATATTTTCTTGTCACTAGCAAGGTGTGCCTAATAAAGTGGCTGGAGAGTGTACATTATGGAGGAATGGTTCACTGTTCTCACCATCAAGAAACTCGCCATGATAAATAGGGGGCAGCCCCATGGAGAAATTGGTTACAGCCATGAGTTGAATGCATGCAGGTAGACAAGTGATGGCTGCAAGTCAACTGCACAGATATGCCAGAAACGATTAATTAAAAAAAAAAAAAAAAAAAAAAAAGGTAAAAAAAAAATTGTATTTGGTCAATATAAGAATGGCAAATATTTATGATGAACAGTACTTTAGCAAATTAGTGTAATTCACTTTGGTGTTAGGTGTACTTAAAGTGGAGCTCCACCCAAAAAGGGAAGTTCCGCTTTAATGTTTTGTCTCCCTGCTCCCCATTAAGGATTGGCACCTTTGAGGAGTCGGTACCCGAATTTGACAGGTACTCACTCCCACTTCAGCTGTGACTGCCTAGGTGATCGAAAGTGGACGTTGTCCTCCCCCCCCGTCCCTCACGCATGTGCAATGGATACCCCGGCTGTGAAGCCGCAAGCTGTCACAGCCGGGTGCCCAAAGTTAGGATGCCAGCGCCAGGGAGAGAAGGCGGCCAGTGAAACCAGCGGTGGCAAGGACACCGCTGGACCAAGGGACAGGTAAATGCCTGTATTTTAAAAGTCTGCAGCTACAGTTTTTGTAGCTGCTGACGTTTATTTTTTTTTTCAGCTGGAACTCCTCTTTAAGAAAAAAACCCCACTATGCTAAAGAACGAATGTCCACTTCTAGCATATTTTATGATTGTCTCATAATCCCTCACAGTCATGTGAAATAAAGGGGCTACCATTAAAAGGATAAGTTCAGCTTTTTGGAACATGTTACATGTTCTACTCATTTTCAGGGTGGAACATGCTACATTTTCCAACAGCTGCAGCCTCCTCCACCCCCCCCTCCCATTGACAGTGGACGGAGGATATTTTCCCTGCGCCTGCTGTCACAATTTAAAAATAATGGGGCTGTGTGGGGCTCCGCACTTTCAGTTTTCCAGCAGTTGCAGCTGATGGCATGTGATTCTCAGTCAACTCTGAGGGCTTTGGTGAGCACTCTCGTAGCCCATTGACCTTCCTGCTCTCAGGTGACTGCCTGCCCGTACAAGATACAGGCAGACAGCTATGAAGAGAGACTTCAGGAGCCTGAGATTGCACCCACAATCTGCTGGTCGCAGGCACAATGCTCTGCATGCTCCATAGAAAAAGAATAAATGCAAAAATACCTGCAAAAAATGTGCATTTATTTTTTTTTCAAAAAGGTTATAAACTTATTCTTTAACCTCAATCTTAAAATGGTGGCAGTCTCTGGCTTCAACGCTTTTTGAGTTACATGTCAGGCATCAAGTGAGGTCAAGAATTCAGAATCCTAAATTTGCATACATTTTGGGGTTCCATAACAGATCTTTGGGGAGGGGGCTTATCTTCAGGCAGAGATCTCCAGTCCTCCAGTCAGTAACTTCACTGAAGTAGTCTTCTGACATCTGCCACAGCAATGGCTATATGTCCAAGCACAGCAGTAATATGAGGATTTAGGGTAAAACACACATAACCTTTGACTTTGGCGGCAGTGTGAGACTGCAACTGAGTGTGAGATTGTACAAAAGATATTAATATTACTCACATTATCATTTCTCCAGTTGATGCATCCACTGTGGGCACTTTCATGCACAAATTTTCCATTATACTTATCCAGGGAAAAGGTCCAGGAAAGCATTGCAGAAACCTATGAGCTGCCAAAAATCCATTTTGTTCATTGCTCAGAGCCTGTAGTAAGAGAATGACTGCTCTTTCAGGGTCATGGAGGGTGGATCCTGCCATTAACAACTATAAGCAGGCAATCTACAATGTAAAAAAAAAAAAAAAGCACAAGTCATATAACACATATTTGGCTTCAAAAAGTGCACAAGCTCAAAATCTGGTTGCTTTGCTTTAATGTGATATGTAAATGTGTGCACTTGGATATACATTTACTATATCTGGACTCCATATCGCCTGACTGAGATAGATATACTGTGTGTGTGTGTGTGTGTATGTGTACACATATATATATGCTATTTGGGTTTGAGAGCAAGTAATATATATCTACTGCAGCCGCTCAGTGATTTTCAGCTTCCACAGGTATGGTATATACAAATATTTGAACCAAGCTGGTCCAATGTAACTATGCACAAGGCAGTGAATGATCCAAAATTCTCCCTACTGCCTTGTTTGCTAGGGTTAAGAGGTGACATTCTTTTTTTCTAGCCCTGGGCCCCAAAGATACCAGCATATAAATGCAAAACTACGGCCCTGCTAAAGACGTTTATCTGGCCCACCAGGCCAGCTGGGAAAAAAAAAAAAAAAAAAAAAACACATGGCACTATCCGGTAAATAGCTAGGCTGCTTGCTGTGTCCTAGGCCAGGGGTAGGCAACCTGAGAGCCGCAGGACTACAAGTTCCATCATGCCTCTGCAAGTCATAGCTGTAACTGTCAGTTTTGTAATCTTTGCAATGCCTCATGGGAAATGTAGTTCCACAACAGCTAGAGAGCCACAGGTTGCCTACCCCTGTCCTAGGCCATGAGGTACCAGCGAGCGGCAGCCTGGAAGCCCAGGATTTCACCTGCTGCAGCCAGAGGAGCAACAGGAGAAGGAGCGCAAACCAGGCACCAAATACAGTGTCCAGTGTGTCAGTGTACAGTGCGTTACAGCACACAGTGCATGGGTCCAGTGCCTACAGCACACAGTGCATGGCGGTGTCCAGTGCCTTACAGCACACAGTGCATGGCGGTGTCCAGTGCCTTACAGCACACAGTGCATGGCGGTGTCCAGTGCCTTACAGCACACAGTGCATGGCGGTGTCCAGTGCCTTACAGCACACAGTGCATGGCGGTGTCCAGTGCCTTACAGCACACAGTGCATGGCGGTGTCCAGTGCCTTACAGCACACAGTGCATGGCGGTGTCCAGTGCCTTACAGCACACAGTGCATGGCGGTGTCCAGTGCCTTACAGCACACAGTGCATGGCGGTGTCCAGTGCGTTACAAAGTACAGTGCATGCATTTGGTGTCCAGTGCATTAAAGAGTACAATGCAGTGCGGTTTCCAGTGTATTGCAGTGTCCAGTGCGTTACAGAGTACAGTGCATTGCGAGTGGCAAGTGCGTTACAGTGTGCAGTGCATGTCGGTGCCAAGTGCGTTACAGTGTGCAATACATGGTGGTGCCAAGTGCGTTACAGTGCGCAATGCATGTCGGTGCCAAGTGCGTTACAGTGCGCAATGCATGTCGGTGCCAAGTGCGTTACAGTGTGCAGTGCATGTCGGTGCCAAGTGCGTTACAGTGTGCAGTGCATGTCGGTGCCAAGTGCGTTACAGTGTGCAGTGCATGTCGGTGCCAAGTGCGTTACAGTGTGCAGTGCATTTTGGTGTCCCAAGTGCGTTACAGTGCATTGCGGTGTCCACTGCGTTACAGAATACGGTGCAGTGTGGGGTCCGGTGCGTTACAGACTACAGTGCATTTTAAATATTGTATTGTTTTTTCCTGTTTTTTTGCACTACAAATAAGATATGTGCAGTGTGCATAAGAATGTTATTTTTCTTATTTTCAAGCTATTGTAAGGCCCTCCCAAACAGTGTGAAGGTCCGTGAACCGGCCCCCTGTTTAAAAAGTTTGAAGACCTCTGCCCTAAACCCTCTGGCAGGGAAATTCATACAGTTGTGTTTTGTAATAGAATTCTTCAGTTTGCCCTGCCTGGCAACCTTCTTGCTACAGGTTTTGCAGAGCGTACACCTACTGCAGAAATTTAGAATGTTCACAAATCATGCATAAGGCTAGGTTCACACCTATGCAGTTTGCATTTGATCCATTTCTGCACTGCTTTTTGCGGTGCATTTTTGCATGTGTTTTTTTTTTCCGCTTTTTTAAAATAATTTTTTTATTTCTTGTTGCTAGGCAGATTAAAACGCAAAATGCGTCAAAAACGCAGCAAAAACGCACTACATGCTTTTCTGCAGCATTTCCATTGAAGTCTACAGAACCAAAAAACGCAACTTTTGGCGTTTAAAAAGTCCCTGACTCTTTCCAAAAAACGCACCAGGTGAAAACGCAGAGATGTAAACGTATTGCATTTTTGGATGTACAGTATCTCACGGAAGTGAGTACACCCCTCACATTTTTGTAAATACTTGATTCTATCTTTTTTCATGTGACAACACTGAAGAAATGACACTTTGCTACAATGTGACGTAGTGAGTGTACAGCTTCTATAACAGTGTAAATTTGCTGTCCCCTCAAAATAACTCAACACACAGCCAATAATGTCTAAACCGCTGGCAACAAAAATGAGTACACCCCTAAGTGAAAATGTCCAAATTGGGTCCAATTAGCCATTTTCCACTCCCCGGTGTCATGTGACTCGTTAGCCTTACAAGGTCTCAGGTGTGAATTGGGAGCAGGTGTGTTAAATTTTGAGTTCTCTCTGTCACTCTTTAATACTTGTCACTGGAAGTTCAACATGGCACCTCATGGCAAAGAACTCTCTGAGAATCTGAAAAAAAAAAAGAATTGTTGCTCTACATAAAGATGGACTAGGCTATAAGAAGATTGCCAAGACCCTGAAACTGAGTGGCAGCACGGTGGCCAAGACCATACAGCAATTTAACAGGACAGGTTCCACTCAGAACAGGCCTCGCCATGGTCGACCAAAAGAAGTTAAGTGCTCGTGCTCAGCGTCATATCCAGAGGTTTGTCTTTGGGAAATAGACAAATGAGTGCTGCCAGCATTGCTGCAGAGGTTGAAGGGATGGGAGGTCAGCCTGTCAGTGCTCAGACCATACGCCGCACACTGCATCAAATTGGTCTGCATGGCTTTCGTCCCAGAAGGAAGCCTCTTCTAAAGATGATACACAAGAAAGCCCATAAACAGTTTGCTGAAGACAAGCAGCCTAATGACTTGGATTACTGGAACCATGTCCTGTGGTCTGATGAGACCAAGATAAACTGATTTGGTTCAGATGGTGTTAAGCGTGTGTGGCGGCAACCAGGTGAGGAGTACAAAGACTAGTGTGCCTTGCCTACAGTCAAGCATGGTGGTGGGAGTGTCATGGTCTGGGGCTGCATGAGTGCTGCCGCCACTGGGGAGCTACAGTTCATTGAGGGAACCATGAATGCCAACATGTACTTTGACATACTGAAGCAGAGCGTGATCCCCTCCCTTCGGAGACTGGGCCGCAGGGCAGTATTTCAACATGATAACAACCCCAAACAAACCTCCAAAACGACCACTGCCTTGCTAAAGAAGCTCTCCTCCCCCACTTCCTCCCCATCCATGGGCGGTGCCATTTGGATGTGCCTGTGGAACGCATTTGCACTCCTGTTCTGGTCAACGCCATTTTGGCAGTCTGGGTGGAATGTGCACTTGCGCAGTAGCTTGGCGCCCGAAGCGGATTTCGCTTGCCAACTTGGAGTCATGGCGTTGGGGGTTAGGCTGACATCCCACTTGCTGGGGCCATATAGGGGAGAAGCGGCAGAGCTGGAGACGATTGCTGAGCTGCTCTCTTGTTTTTCTGCGGGACACTATACTGGGCTAGAGCCATGAGGCGCTGGGTCCAATTTCCTTTTTAGTGACATACAAATGTTTTTGCCAATATCCATTTTGATCTATTGTGGCCTGAGATTTGGCAAAAATTTCAGGGGGTAGGTTTTAGTAGGGGAAACCCATTTATGTGAGACTCTTGGTGGGGGAGGATTATAAATTCAATATATATCCCTCATATGCTTTTTAGGAGAGTATTTTTTTACTTTTTCTTTGCAACTTAAATATAAATGGAATGGTGTGTGTGTGTGATATGGCATGTATCCTTGATGACAGACATTGGCACTTATGACTGTTTTGAAATAATAACAACTGTGTGATCTAATTGAATATTGTGGTAAGAGTTTTAGCAATACTATTCATATAAATGTGTGTTAATGGCTATATTATTATGTATAAATTGTATATCTGTTACTGTGAAGTTATGTATATGTTTTTGTAGACGATTCCTGCAAAGCCTTTGAAGAAGCAGAAGTGGACTGCGATACGCGTCAGCGTTTACAGCGGGATACTGTTTTCGTCCAAATACATCATGTGACCTGTTGGTTTTCAGTAAATGTATTGTGCATTACATTGCATACTTGTTAGCCAAATTGTTTTAAAGGAAATTAATAAATGAATCATTTTTTAGCCTATCGTTGTTCTTTTCTTTAGCACAGTGCCTTAAAAGTCCCTATTCCTGGAGATACACTGTATATCCAAAGATTTTTTTGCAATTTGTATTCTCTTTGGGATGTGGTACTATCCCGAGTAATGGGTTATGCTTTTCTGAACATGTCCCATAGGAGATCATTTTAAAAATGGACTGTAGTGTGTTTTTGCAAAACGCTACGGAAAACGCAGGGTTACTGCACAAAACTGAGGGTGCAACATCAAAGGTATGCAATACATGAAAGATTTTATGACCCATGCAAGATGTAAAAATATGAGGCCAGTGATCATTTCCAGTCTTTGAGGTTTCTGAACTTTTGACACTAGATGGGTTAAAAAAAAATTGTGTACACCATTGTGTACACCATTTAACAAACAACAAAGGGTCAGTGTGTTGACCAATTCAATACCGTGCAATTTTACACCTTCCTGCCCAGGCCATTTTTCAGGTTTCAGTGCTCTCACACTTTGAATGACAATTGCGCAGTCATACAACATTGTACCCAAACTGAAATGTTATCATTTTCTTCACACAACTAGAGATTTCTTTTGGTGGTATTTAATCACCACTGGGGTTTTTATTTTTTGCTAAATTAA